ACTCTCCATTATAAGTACGTACCGTAACTTGTCGAATTTACCGTCTTTTCCCAGTCCACAACACGACCTATAGGCCTTCACGTTTAGAAAAGTCATCGCACTCTTCATTTCGCTGCATCCAAGATATTACAGTGGAAGAATCACTTCAAAAAAGGATTCATGTTTCTGACTTAAGTTTTCTATTACCTATGTGTAAAGTATAGTATATTAAGTATGGAGAACGGTAAGGGATTTTTACCGTTCGAAGACAATTGTTTGGAGGAGGAGCGGAGCGACGACTCCAATTATTGTCTGAGAACGGTAACCCTTAACGTTCGACGTGCTTATAACATTTTTTGCGCGATCGAAATTAAAATTATGCAACCAATATAAATATGCACTAAGAAATTAACGAGCAGAATAAATTGAAATGATCGAAGTGGTATGGTGTACATCACTAGGTAACCAGTTTATTTGTCAAAACTGAAATTAATAATTTCTTGTGCATGTGTCTGATGTAGTTTGCTAGCTTTGCACTTCCGTTATGACTTTATGAGCGAGGTATTCGCCGGTGGCCGAATGGTATGTTGAAGATTTTACAGAACAAAATTGTAATTGGAATGTATTAAGAAAAACGAAAGCACATCTTCAAACACATTGATCTCTATTGCTTCAGGTTTAAATGAAGAACGTGTTCTTTCTATAGGAAACATCAGCACAAATTGTAAGTTTAATGTAACAATAATTAAAGATTAAATGTAATGTAAGACTGTTAACATTGAACTGATTGTTTTTAAAAAGGCGTCGGTAAGTATTTTTGCTGTTCTGTTTTTAGATCGGTAAGTAATTTTGGCGTCGTCGTAATCATAGCAACTGGTAAATTCCACTTACTGTCATGGAAACACACATGGTAAATAGTCAGAAATGACCGATCGCGCAAAAAGTAAGTAAGTAAGTAAGTAATTTATAGTGTTAGGATACATTGAAGAAATGCTTACACTCGTCCGAAAATCGTATAACACATAAACATAAAATACATGGAACATATAGAACAATATTACATAAATAACATGAAAATTCATTTAGAAAACAAATAATTAAAAAATACAAACAACAAAAAATAACTTAAAGCGTTAAAGTCTTGAGGTCGTCTAGCTCAAATAGTGGCAGCCAGCAATTCTAGGCGAGGAATTGCTATTTTCTTTCTTCCGATGTGTACAGCCCTAGCTTTAGCTGCCAACAAATGAACATATACCTACCTCTTTTCCTTGTGCTATACGGTAAAACACAACTGAGTACAGGCATCTTTAGAAGCATCAGCGAATATATGTAAGGGTATTTCTTTGATGTAATCCTTCAATCCTGTATAAGAGGGAATCCCAATTTTCAAAAGGTTTCACAAATCGTGTACCCAAGCTATAAACTTTTCTGCTGCCTCGTCTTCTATTTCGACATTTCATGACATCTGTCTCTTCCATAATCTTGTAGTTTCCGGAGAACTGTATCTCATGGGGTCAAAAATCTTTTGCGCCATAAATTTCTTTTTGTTACTTGTCTTTCGGGTACTTGTCTTTATCGAATTTGGGTTTAATGTCAAAACATCTGGATTTCGGTACCGCGTAAGTGTTCAAGAGCTACGCTATTTTCTCCTATATCCTTATAGCGTTTTCTCTATAACAAAACCGTCTTTTACAGTTTTCAAACATTTTTACAGGTGGTGCTCTATGGTTGCCCCTAGCAATAATGGGCTACAATTTATTAAGTCAAAAACCACTCTACTACCTATCGGTCATTTTCATCAATCCATGGAAATTTCAAAAATTCAGTGTCCTTTTCATCTACGCAGATCTGTAAAAAATGCTTTCTTTATGTCGGAAACGACTCCTATCCTATTTTACCTAAATTTCAGGAACAACGCAGGAATAACTTTAGTTAAATTCAAACCCTTCTCTAAGCACATGTTAGTGAAGGTTCGTTCTTTTCCTTGCAGGATGTGTAAAGAACTGGTCTAACGGCAGTCGTTGAACCTTCCTTTATCACGGGTTGCGGCGGCGGTAAAAAAGTCCTTTGTTTTTCGAACACCGTTCAATTTTTGAAATGATTTTAGCTTTTAAATTCTGCTTTTCCAATTTTTGTCTCCTCGTTCCGAGCTTTCTCTTAGCAATTGTATAATTTGTAGGTACGTAATGGAGGGTGTTCTTCTAACCAGGGTGGTAGCAACTTCACCTTTTGATCTACGGTTAAAGGGGTTCTCTATACCTAATACATACAGTGATAATCATGTAGAAGTAGACATAGGGATTTCCTATGTCTATTTTTACATGATAAAAAGCTTCTAAAGGACGCCTAACTTTATGCAACCAAAATAACTACCTACAACTAATGAAGATCTGCCTGTCATATTAATTAATTTGAATATTATCGCTTTGACTTCCGTATGTTAATTTTCGTTCGTGTACCATGTATTCAACTAAAGAAAAAGTTGATATTTTCAATTGTGCCGGTTAAAGGAGCTTAAAGATTTATTTTCTGTGAATCCAAAGTAACAATATTCAAATTAATAATTAATGTGACAGCCAGATCTTTATTTGTTTCAAGAAGTTGTTTTGGTTGCATAAAATTAGGCGTCTTTCAATAGTTATTTTTATCATTTGAAAGTAGACATAGGAAATGCCTATCTCTACTTCTACATGAATATCACTGTATATCGTTTCTTGTTCAGGAACTTTCACTTCAAGTGTCCAACCCACATGAGTTTCAGAGGCCATAAGACCACAGTTGACATTTGCTAGCAAATAGTGGCGCTGCTGCGTTTACCCCAATTGAAACTTCAATGGATCTTTGTGTATTGTAATCTGAAATATTTATATTCAATGCATTTAACTCTTGATTTCATGTCTAAGGACCATAAAAAATACTCTTAACGTCACCACAAATTCTTGACTGATCAGAAACCTCGATGGTACAGGTGTAATTTTAATTAAAAATGTTAACATCATAGCATAGATGCGAAGGTGCTACTTCTGACTCACCAAATAAACAATAAACAATTTGTTGCGTCTCTTTGGGTTTGAAATAAGGTATCAGAATGCATGACTTTGCTGATCCAGTGCCATTGTTTGAAAACCTATTTGACTGGCTGTTGTATCTTTCTTAGCATATTCTGTAGAGTCCTGCTGACTATTTTCTTGTCTTACCAATGGCCTGGTCCCTATTACATTTCGACACATTGCAGTCATATAAGAATTACCACAAACAACGCAACATCATAGCGCACGGCAGAGTTTAGACTGGTGTCCTACCTTGAGGCACTTAAAACATGCTCTTTTTGCTGTTACCGCAACTGTCGTTTCTCCATGTATCACTTTCTGCGTTGCAACCTGGTACAAAGAATACACGATTTGGTATTATTGACACTAGTGGAATTTACTAAATTGATTTACTAAAATTAGATCTAGAATTAGGTGACGTTTGTGTGTGCTTTTTAGCAATTTCCTTTAAAAAAATCAGTACGTTGGTCATTTTCTACTTCAGCACTTAAGAAACTCAATCTTCAGCATCACTGGCCTCGCTTTTGTATTACTCGCACCACTAGAATTAAAGTTAGATCTTTGCCAAATAGTAAGTCTTGGGGCAAGTAAGGAAACAAGAGTGCCGCATATTTGTATGTATGATGTAAGGCCTAAAAGTACCTATTAACTGGGTCTCAATCATATCATACAGTTAGCATAAACCTTCATTGGCAAGTCTTTGCGGCCATATCTAGCAGTGACACAGTCGAGAATTTTGTTATAGTTCTCGCCAAGCACAGAAAAACTATCAACTATTTGCCGCGCTCGACTACCCGCAATGGTAGCTTGAACTAAAAATCGCAATTGTCTATGGCAGTATTTGTATGAATTTTTCGAAATTGAGCCCAGAAAGGTAACAAATTTTTTATGTTATACTCGTTCGGTTTAAACTGAATAAGTGGAAATTTAAATTTTCTTTTACCTGGAGTCATCCTCAAACCTACTTGACTGACACTCGAGACGGACCCAACCTCCTCTGCAGAGTTCAATAGCTTTTCAATGTTTATCCTCTAGGTACCATCCTTTTGGTATACACGTCACACTGTTCCACTTGTGTGATTGAAGACTAGTCGGGGGTATCACTTTCGAATAATAACTTTCTTCAATTATAGGTTTAAAAAACTCCCAAGGCACTTCTACTTCTTCTGGTATGTCACAGTCACGTCGATCATGCAGGTAAACGCCCACTGCAAAGCTTATGTCTTTTTCTTCGCATGGGCTAGATAGAGATCAAAATATAATAGCATAATTTGTGTACACCTCATAGGCGACCAGGTTTGCAGTGGGCGGCTACCTCCGATGATTGACGTGACTGTTTTTATACTGGACGACGTCTAGTGCTTGCGTTTTTATGTGAATCATGGTGCATTAAATTAGAATCGGGTACGGCTGAACGGATCTTCATTATCTTTCATTTATTGAATTTGTCTGTGCCCCGAATAGAAGCACAACTATTAAAATATTTGGCAAATATGGTGGGTTTATACAATCATTATCATTAGTTCACTAAGCTCAAAATGTTTTCGTTGGTTAGCAACGCGCAATAAACCTTTGTTTCTATTGGCTACTTCTTAATGATTTTTGATAGTGAACTAATGATAATGATTGTATAAACTCACCAACTTCCGAATGGTGCGCTGTGAAGTACCTACGCTAAATGTATTTATTTCAATTTAAAATTGTGGAATCGAATCGATAAAACGCATTTAAAGCACGTTTGACGTAGTACATAATACAGAGACATTAAGTTGTTTTCTTTTCCACTCCTCAAAGCGTCGAAATTGCTCCTCCATAACCTTGTCCTGGCACATGGACTACGACCTCTAGAAACGTGCAACAAATTCGCAATAAACAAATTAATGAAGCGAAACGCGAAATTGCACGAAAGTTAAACTACGTTTCTCTCCATTAAGATTTGCAACTACATAATAATTACAAGAAAAACCAATCTTAATGTTTCAGTACAGCGATTTACTCGATTGAGGAGATTGAGAGGACGTTAGTTGTATAAGTATTTACTGTTGAACACATGCTTTCAAATCAGCAACGAACGTGTTGTTCTTGATGATGCCAATGACGTCTTCGAGTGGGAATTTTTCCCGAGAGTTTCGGAGGGCTTCAGTGACGCACTTGGTGAAGGCTTCGCCGTCAAACGATATTAAGTGGTTCAAACATTTGGTGACACCCTGCGCAACTGCTGCGATACCTGCGAAGATATTTACCACTGATGATGTAACCGCCTGCAGTGGTTTGATTAGGAAATCATTTATAGTTTTGATTAAACACTCCACTGGTTTCGTAATATTAGTGGACTGCCTCAATTCTGAAAGAAAATGATTTTTCTCTCTTTTTCATACCTAAATCATAGATTACCTAAGTTATAATTTACTTCAGCACGTCCCATCGCGCCAAAAAGCAGGCAGGTGAACAATAACTGTGCTAAGAATAATTTCATTTTGGACCCAGACTTGTTCTCGGAATTACAGATCGGTGGTTATATACGTGCTAGTGTTATCGTGGACATGTATTATTTATTACTTAATTTGTGGGTCCCCTTCTACATGTTACACATACGTGTACCTAAATCTTTTAGAACCCCTACTTTTTGCCACATTGAGGACTTAACCGCCAAGGTCGGAAGTGCCAATTCTGATTCGCAACATCAGCCGTTTTACGCTCGAGGCTTTTGACTATACGAGAAATCCCGAAAATATGTCAAAATTTATCCCCATTAACGCATCCATGCCCTTAGTAATATGTCTCGGTTATGGTAATGATAAAGATCACCGTCCTCACAGATGCCTTGGCGACGCGACTTGGGTAATCTTCACATTTCTCAAAATTATCTCATGTTATCTCTGTGAACAAACTTAGTATTGTACGAAATAAGCTAACCAAATATGCAAGGGTAGGTATTTATGCTTGTTTAGCTGGTTTCCAGTTGCTTTACCTTTATTTCGCAACGGAGAAATAAATACAGTAATCTTCTTTACCTTGAGTGCCCAGTTGTAATTTATTACACTGATTTATCGTAATATCTTCTTGAAAAAATACGAATTATTGCTACACTCAAATATGAACAAAAACCGAAATTTGCTTTATTACGCAAGAATCAACACATACTTACCAACTCTTTTATACGCTGTTATTATAGTTCAAACACACGTGTAGTTGACGTCAAGGTTCGCCATATATAGGGTAGTTAGCTAGTTACAATATTTAAACTGATGAGGTAGGTACTTTATCAAAATGTGGGTTGCAGTGACTATAGCTTAGGGTGGGCCGAAAAACGGTTTTTTTTCAAAAATTTGGAAATTTCGTTTTGGAATAGTTCGCAAAAGTTGCCTTTTCTATTTCCAATGAAAATGTTTATTAATAGTTTTTTCATTGTAATGCGTACTGTGCCCCCTACCGCGATTTAAAATAAAAAAAAAAAATAAAAAATATAAATTGGGAATTTCGAATTGGAATAGCACCCAAAAGTTTCCTTTTGTGATTTTGGTGAAAATATTCATTTACATTTTTTAAAATTTATTACGTCTTGTGCCCCCTACTAGCCCCTGAAAGTTGAGTAATTTTGCAATTTTCTAGTTTAATGCCATTTATTTTTTTATAAATGGGTCATTTATTCGTGAAATGTTTTATTATCAAATTTTGGCTTTAATAGCGAATAGAACTACATTCTAATATATACCCACCTGAATCCAGTCCGAAATAGATGGCAGATCCCATAGAAGCTCGATAGTTGAAGAACATATTTCTTTGATTCAAGAACCAGGTTCAGTTTTTCTGGGTCATACAATACCTTCGTCGGGATCAGCAAAGGACCTGTTTCGAAGGATAGTTTTTTTTTACAAGAAGATGACTTTGATTGGACTGGATTATTAGCAGTGGGGTGTGATGGCACTGTAGTCAACACGGGATCAAAGAATGGAGTTATCACTCAACTTGAATCAACGTTAGGACGTCCTTCACAGCGATTTATCTGTCAACTTTACGCCAATGAGCTACCATTGAGACATCTGTTTCAGGCACTTGAGGGCGGAACAACCGGTCCTAATGCATTTTCAGGTGTATTGGGTATGAATTTAGTTAAATGTGAAAGTTTGCCAGTTGTTCAATACGAGAACCTATGGACTGTGAATTAGTGGAAGTAGATTTTAACGACCTAAGTACGGATCAAAGATATTTGTATAAGATTTGCTCTGCAATATCGTCTGGTCAATGCTTTGACCAGCTAGCGAACCTAAGTCCAAGTAAACTGAGCCATTCCCGCTGGCTTACTTTGGCAAACCGCATATTATTGCGTCTCTATATTTCGACGGAAGAATCCAGCTCAAATTTAAAAGAATTGACAAATTTTGTTCTGAAAGTTTATGCTCCGATGTGGTTTTTAATTAAATTGAATACATCATGTTCAAATGGGGCAAAGCATGTTTGGCAAACCATTAACCTAAGTCGATATTTGAGAGACGATTTGAAAAGAATTATTGATCCAGTTATCCAACGCAATGCATATTTCGCACACCCAGAGAATTTGTTAGTATGTATGCTAAGTGACCCTCGTCCCCATATCAAAGAACTTGCCACGACGGATTTTAAACGCTAAGAGAAGGGAAAATTCAAGAAAAATTCGTCTTTTCATACTACCGAAACTAAATTTTGAGGAAGATGAGTACACTAACTTAATCGACTGGCATAATAATGAAATCACTTCACCGCCACTACTTCAAAATTTAGAAGTGGGTGGCAAAATATTTTAACTGAAATCCCGTATACTTTCGTTAATATTGATCTTAAATCCTATCCCTGTCATTCTCAAGCAGTGGAAAGATGCATAAAATTAGTAACGGACGCTACCTTATCAGTTGTTGGTTTCCAAAGAAGAGATGGGTTTATAAAAGCAAGGTCGTAGACTAATGCCCCAATTTGAGAGCAAAAAAGACTTCTTACAATAAGTTTATCCGTTTTACATTTTATTACGGGACCGATTTCTTCATTTGTTTGTTAGTTAATAGTTTAAAAGTGTAGTGTAAGATAATAAAAAAAAATAATAAACAGAATGAAAAATTTGATTCTCAATTTTTTTTTATAACTTGATTGTCGGTAGGGGGCAGAAGACTCAATGTAATAAAAAAAACGACAAATAAACATTTTTGTTACTATAACACATGGCATCTATTGCGCTCTATTTCAAACCGAAATTCCAAATTGGATTTTCTTTTTTTTTTGAAAATTTTAAGTTTCGGTAGGGGGCAATAGATGAATGACAATCAAAAAATAGTTAATAAACATTTTCATTGTAATAATAAAAGGCTACTTTTGCGAACTATCCCCAAGCGAAATTTTAAAATTTGATTTTTCGGCCCACCCTAGCTCAATCGAATCGAACGATTTAGATCTGACCTTTTTCCTAAAGCACTATAACTACTAATCACTTGTTGATAATGCATCATGGTTGAGCATATTGAATGCAACACATAAAGTAGAAAACTCTTTCTTTTATATCTAAACTACTTAAACTATGGAAACAAAAGGCTATTTAATAGCAAATTGCCTGACCTACAATTTGAAGAAAATGGTGTTCTTATAGGCTAAAGTGCATTTCCCACTGGGATTATTATAAATTTATAAGCAGTCTTATCAATACGGCTGTTAAAAGAGAATAAAAGGCGTATCTATTGAATTGAAGCTAAAGAATGGGTCTATCAAAACTACTTGGTCCAAACTAAAGAGATTGAATCTATAGGAAACAAGTTAAAAAGTAATCGTAAACGATTTACATAAAGCGCATTTCCACTTGCATTCATTTCCCATTTGTAAGATGCAACTTCTGTTAAAATCGTTAAAATCCGGCCACAAATATAAAAGATAGCGTTGCACATGGGCAATCCATTGTTGACGTGCTACTTCAATTTCAGTTTATGAGAAGAATTTCATTTCAATGCTTTTCCAAATAAGAAAGTTGGAACTGCGCATGCGCAAACCTAAATTTTAAAACTAATGTTAGATTTTCCTTTGTTCCAAGCGACTAAGTATCAAATTTCACTTAAATAGTTCCATAGATAAAAAAGTTGGCACGGCGCATGCGCAAAATAAAATTTTGAAACTGGCGCTAGATTTTCCTTTATTTCAAGTGCCTATGTATCACATTTCATTTAAATTCTTCCATAAATAAAAAAGTTGGCACTGCGCATGCGCAAAACCAAATTTTGAAATTGGCGTTTGATTTTCCTTTATTCGAAGTGCCTATGAATCAAATTTCGTTTAAATTCTTCCATAAATAAAAATGTTGGCACTGCGCATGCGCAAAACCAAATTTTTAAATTGGCGTTTGATTTTCCTTTATTCCAAGTGCCTATGTATCAAATTTCATTCAAATACTTTTATAAGTAAAAAAGTTTGCAATTCGGTTTACAAATGGTCGAGATGCGAAAAGGGCACTGTGAATTTTGAATCGATTCCATTCAACTTTTGGCATTGCGTATTATATGGCTAAAGCTATGCCCATATTGAATTTCATGCAATTCAGTTCATAACTAACGGAGATGTAAAACCGATCGAACATTTCTAAACAAAGTTATCGTTCACACGGACAGATAGATGGACAGACAGACAAAGGAACAGACGGAGAGACCAACCGGCAGGCGACAGATAGCAATGCAAAATTATAAATGATCTCTAGGATCGTTAATAAACGGCAAAAGTGTAAAATTATGGAACATGTAAAAAACGGTTTTTTTGTTTTTTTTGCAATAACTTTTTTTGTAAGCGGTACAGAAAAAATTCCTTCCTTGGTACAAGACTCGACACCATAACGAACCAAATAGCGAAAAAAGTAGAACAATAGCTCTTAAGATAAAAAACTAGTACCGTCGCAAAGTTAGCGGACGGACGGACGGACGGACGGACGGACAAAGTGGCCACAATAGCGCATTTTTTTTTTATTTTTGTGGAAATGCGCTAAAAACACATTAAAATATTTTAAAAGGTTTCAAATGTTTAGGTATTCATTTAGGTGTGATAGTACGCTTTTTCTACTAGAAATTGTTTTAATGCAAATCTAAATTTTTTGTAGGTTTTAATGGCCTTAATATTTGGCGGTAGTGCATTAAAAATTTTACACGTTCGAAACGATAAATTTTTTTGAAACGATGATCTGTGTGTGCCAGGGTTTAAGTACATCTTATGTCGAGTGTTGTAAACATGTTCAGAAAAAAAAACGATTTTTTTCTAAACCCTAAACAACATATCTCCAGAATGTAGGTGTCTATTACCGTTAATATCCTTAATTCTTTGAAAACCGGTCTGCACGACGTATTGAAAGGTAAAGAGCATATAATCCTAATAGCGCGTGTTTGCAGAACAAGTATGCGCTGAACGTGAGTACTGCCACCCCAAGTACATATATTGTACCGCATATGAGAGTGAAAGTTGGCGTGGTACAAAGTCAGTAACGTTGATTTGTTGCATAGCTTCTTAAGAACGCTTAAAGAATAGCAACAGTTTCTAAGTGATTTGGAGACAGTGTCAATGTGAGCAAACCAACCCAAGTCAGAACTTACAGTAAGCCCAAGCCGAAGGTTGTCTTACAGCACGTGAATTCATTTAAATCATATTTTTTTAAGCCAAACGAAATCACAGTAGTTTTGGCAGCGTTAAGTATGATATTATTGTTGCTGCACCATGTGCTTAATTTGTCTAGCGTGAGCTTTATCTGCAACTTCAAAGACATTATACAACGTGATTTAATTAATATATTTGTGTCATCGGCGTATGATGTAATAAATGTAGAATCGCCATCATCGCCCTCTTTCAGATACGAAACCAGGTCATTGCTGTAAAGAATAAATAGCGTCGGACCGAGAATTGAGCCTTGAGGAACTCCTGTTAA